ATCGACATCATCATCCTGTGGCTGCAAAAATTTTTTTTTTTTTTTTTTGTTAATAATATTCGTTTCCCTCTCTAACCTAATATTTTTTTTTTTTTTTTTGCTTTCTTCAATCGTCGCAACCAGTGCCCAGTATTATTATTATTGTTGTTGTTGTTGTTTTTGTTTTGAAAGTAATAATAATAAATTCTGTTCATTAAAATTCTTTTTTTTTCAGAGAAAATAATCTACAAAAGAAATAAAAAAGATTTTAAAGTTTAATGTTGTTGTTGTTGTTGTTGTTGTTATTGTCTTTGTTTTCGGAATTGAAAAAAAATTCTTGATATTTTTTCATCAATTTTGTTGTTGTTGTTGTTGTTGATGGTGGTGGTTGATCATCATCATTGTTTTGATAATGTTTTTTTTCTTGTTGGTTTTTCTTTATTTAATCATTAAAAAAATTATCATCAACGTTGCAACAACAAACAGCAACTAAATTATTAGCATCAAATTATTAATGTTGTGTTTTTCTATATATCTTGATTGATTGCAACAAAAAACAAAATAATTATAATGATGATCATCATGATATCATGATCATCATCAATACATTGATATTTGTTATTGATCAATGATGTTCATTTTGGATTTAGAATTTATGACACCTTGAAAATCGAATCTTCAAACATTGAAACAACAACAACAGCAGCAGCAGCAGCAAAACGTTCGAATTCGAATGTTTGTTTTTTGTTATCGTTCGAATTCGAATGTTTTTGTTATCGTTCGAATTCGAATGTTTTGTTACATTTGTATCGACCATTGGCGATTTTTTTTTTAACAAAATTTAAATTTTAAAAGTTTCTTTTTCTTAAAAAAAGAAAAGAAATATCATCAATTTTTTTTGGAAAGAATATAATATTTTGTTTGGAAATATATGTGTGTGTATAGATGTGTGTTTGTTGATTCATCTATATATTTATTATTATATATGTAATGAATGCATATATGAATGTTTGTAATTTGTTTGTCTAAAAATAGAATCTAAAATCATCATCATCATTGAAAGAAAATCAAAAAAAATATAAAACATCATATACACAAGTCACCAAACTAAACGAAAGAAAAATCAACGAACTTATTAGGTTATACAATGTGTATGTTTGTTTGTTTGTTTGTTTGAATGAACACAACAACAAAAAAAATATTAAAATTGAAGAAACAACAAACAATCAGATTGAACAATGTTATTATTATCATCATTTGGCATCAATTATTATTATTATTATTATTATAAAAAATTCTACAAAAATTAATAATAATTATCAACTGATTGAAATTAAAATAGGAACAAAAAACAATTTAATTGTAGACTAGATTTTATTGTTTTTTATTATTATTATCAATTTCCATCGTTATCATCATCATTATCACTGATTATCAACGATAATATTTTATCCAAAAATCAAGTGCATTCATAATGATTACTGTTTGTAATTGATGAAAAATTATTGTGAAAAAAAAATTATATCCAAAGATCTATTAGTGAGCTTGTGTTTATTTGTAATGTTTGTTTTTGTTTTTTCATCACTAAGAATTAATCCGAATGATAATGATGATGACGATGATGAAGATGAAGATGAAGACCCACACAAATTTCAATCCTTTATAAATATAAACATGGAATCTTCTTCTTCTTCTTCTTCAGTTTGGACAACATTAAAAATGATGGATAGGAAAAAATTATTGAATTTTTCATCACTAACTTATCATCTTTAAACATACATAGTGTTTGTGTTTTTGTGTGTTTTTTTCATTGTTTTGTATCATATAATATTGATTATGGGCAATGCGAATTAATCAATTAAAATTTGTTTTTTAAATTGATTGAAATCAATCGATTTCATTTGACAAAAAAAACTTCAATAAAATTTTTGTTGTTTGCATCTGTTTTTACGTTGCATTTCGTTATTATGTGGTCATCAACAACTTTATAATGATATTGCGTCAATTCACCATTATTATTAAATCGAAATCATCATCAAATAACGTTAACAATTTATTTAAATTTTCAAATGATCATTTTATTTCTTTGTAATTCGTAAAAGATAACAACGACTACAATAGCAATCAAAATCAACGAATTAGAAAAAAATTAATCAACGAAAGCCATCGACTCATCAAAAACAACAAACAAACAAACAAAATGGCTAATCCACGAAAATTTAGCGAAAAGATTGCTCTACACAATCAAAAACAAGCGGAAGAGACGGCAGCATTCGAGGAAATTATGAGAGAAGTAATGGGCGCCACTAGAAATAGGGTATGTTTAACAAAAAAGAAATTTTTTAAATTTTTTTTTTTGTTTCACAACTAAAACACTATTGAATTGATTTTTCCATATTGCAGAATTGATTTATTGTCGTTTCAATTTAATTCAATTCTAAAAAAAAATGTTTTTTAGTTTTTATCCATCTGGTATTTCCGTTTTTCCAATAAAAACACTTGTTGTTGTGAAAAACGATTGACGATTCATTCAATTTATTTTATTTTTTTTTTTTTTTTTTTTTGTTAAATTCAATCACGTTGAATTACGTTGAACGATTCATCAATGACGCGATACAATAACAACAAAAAAAACAAAACAAAAATAATTTAATTGTTATTATCATTATGTCACTGTCGTTGGCCATACATATAGATCGGTAGCCATATCAAGTATTTGCAAAAGATTTTTAAAATAATTTTATAAAAGTTTTCATAAATTTGAAAGGAAATATTAGCCATATTGGTTGAATTTGAATTTTTTTGAATTTGAATTTGAATTTAATAGACAAAAACCCCTATTCCATAAAATTATAGCCATATTGGTTGATGTTTGTCCTGTTTATTTTTTTCATTAATGTTTTGTTGTTGTTCAGTTTTGTTCTCTATATTCTCATATTTTTCTGTACTTCTTTTTCTCTTATTTGTTTAATGAATGGGTTTTTTCCCTTTTCGTTTGTTCATTTATTTTTTTTCATTGTCAAAGGCTTTGGGCCATTTTTGTTTTCATTGAACATTGTTTATTTGGTTAATTCTTTTTTTTAAAGTTTCAATTTTCTTCTTCTGTTTATTACAATGTATAAAATTTCATTTGATATTCTCATGTTTGTTGGATGATTTTGAATGCTAAAAATTTAGCAAATTCGAATAGAACGAAAAGAAGAATTCTAACAACAATTTAATTTCAATTTTTTTTTTACTTACCGATAAAATTACAGATGAACAAAAAATGAACACAAAATGATTTTGTTTAATGACATTCAATTTTCATTTTCATTTATTTTTTATTTTTTTCATTTTGTTATTTTATAAATAATAATAATAACAACAACATTATTAAATGGCTGGGCGACAGCAACCATCATCATGGATGATAATGATAATGATGACAAGTTCAAATAATAAATAATAATAATAATAATAATTATTATTATTATTTTTTTATTTTCTAATTTTGCTTGTTGTCATCGTCATCATTATCATCGAGTTTATTTTTATGATTTGTTATTTTGCTGGAATTATGAATCTATAAATACTGACTGAAAGAAAAAAAAATGAAGATATTTAATTGGGCCAGGAAAATCAGTGATCAGCTTCCATATTCTTTTCGGAATACAGGGTGTTTTAAAAGTGATGACTTCTTTTTTTCAACAAAAAAAAACATCCTGTATAAGAATAGAATGAAAAATAAAATAAAATTTATCCTTTTTCCCAAAAGAGTTATATAACAGTGAATTTTTTTTTTTGTTGACTTTTCAACCTTTAAATCTTAATGTCGGTTTCGTAATTATTAAAACAAATGAAAATGAAAAATTCTTAGAGTTACCTTGGTATTTTATTTTAAATTTTGTTAGTGAAAAAGAATTTCAAGAATAGATGGATCATCATTATAGTTAAGATGATGATGATGATGATGATAAAATACGTTATTATTTTTTTGTTGCTATATAAACATTAAAAAAATTTATTTAAAATTACAAGAAAAAAACTGAAAGTAGAAAAGTTCATTGAATGTCAATGGTTTGCTTGATTTTAATTTTATTTTTTCAAAATAAAATTAAATAAAATTAATCAACTCTAACCCGATTACTTAGAATTCTGGACAAATTCTAACCCTATTTCTATTATTATTATTATTATAATGCAATTTATTTGTTTGTCCAATTCTTGCAAATTATTAATCAGATAAATGATGAACGCTTGCTTTGTTTCGTTTTTTTTTGTTGAATAAATCAAAAATGATTATGATTATAAAATTGAATAAATCAGATTTTTATTTCTCTCATTCATTTCATTAGAATTTTTATTTTTATTTTTTATTTTTCGTTGCATTCCATTTCGACGATGGCGTTAATCACAAATAGAATATATCATTTTGTTAATGTTGATGATGATAATTATTATGCACAACATTTTTTTTTTGCACTTTGAAGATTTTTTCTTGCTTTCTGTCGCTACTGATTTTCTCCTCTTCAATAATCTCTCTCTCCCTTTGATTGGAAATTGTCCTTGGCCATCAATGTTGTTGTTGTTGTTGTTGTTGGATTTTTTTTTTATTTTTCGTTCGTTCATTAGAATTGGATTTCGTTTGATCGATAAATTACATTTAATTGTGAGAAGAATTGAAAAATAAAAACGAAAATTGAAAATGAAATTATTAATGCGAATCACAGACAAGCAAAATTGTGTAGAAAAAAAATGGTGAAACAACCAAAGAATTATAACAACAACAACAACAACAACAAAATTGCAGCCATCGTGTGATAATTGTTGTTTGGTATTGAAAATCAATCAATTTTTTTTGTTGAAAAAATTACTTTTTTCATGGTTTTTCTTGAATTTTTTTTAAGAAGAAAAAAAAATATGAAAGTGCAATAACAACAAACTCAAATGTAATCATCATTAGGATTATCAAGTAGATGAAATTTAAATCTATAAGTGATGATCGATTGATTTTTTTTTTGATTAATCAATTAATCTTGTAAGTTTTAACGTGGGCAATGGGTAATTTCGTTTACTATTTTAGATTTATGTAAGAAATTTTCAAAACAGAAGATTTTAATTCTTTCATTGAATAGTGATTTAATATTTTTTTTGTTTTGTTTTCGTTCTTTGATTTTTCTCGAATCTAACGTTGTTGGTTTTTTTCATTATTGTTTTCGGCTTATTTTTCGTTGTGTTTTCATTTTGACGATTCTGGAAAATAATCGATTTTTTTTGTAGATCTCATTTCCAAGTTTTTTCGAGCTCTTTTATTGTTATCATGAGAAAAATCAAATAATACAAACAAACACGAAATTGCTTATTTGAATTATCATTTTTCTTTTTCTTGTCTTGCTCTATTGTTTTTATCTTTTAATAAATTTTTTTCCATTTTTTTTCGTTTGATCAAATCTTTAGACATCATCATATAATAATCAACCGGTACAACCTCTACCACCAATTCAATCACAAAATCATCTGCATATAACATCTACATTTAATCCGGCCAATCGTGCTGGTTCATTGCCGAATGTTAATCATATTGAACAACAACAACAACAACAACCTACGGATTCAATTTCCAATAATAATAATAATAATAATAATAACAATAATAACAATCAAAGCTCAAATGGCACTAATGTGACAACCACATGTATTGATTTACAAAGTGCCTTGAATAATTTACAGGAGATTAAAAATGATAATATCATCAATAATAATGATCTAACATCATCAACATGTTCACGAAGAAATACACTTAATAATTCGGTAACAGGAACAGCGTCAACGATTGGAAATCATCAAACAACAAATGCAGGTGGCCAAATGGCAATCAGTTCTGGACATCGTCATCATAGTAGCCATAATATCTCATCAATGTCATGTGGTGTAATGAGCGGTGGCAATAGATCACCAACATCACAAACATCATCATCATCAGGATATAATGAACAACAAACCATGCGTTTTATGCATGCACATCGTCGATCTCAATCGCCTTATTCAATGAATAATAATGCATATCTAAGTCCACCAGATGCCGAAACACAATGGCGTCGTACGAATTCCGATTCAGCATTACACCAAAGTAGTAATAATTCAGCATCATTAATGACAAATCATCATCTTCATCATCATCAGCAACAACAAACATCACCGATCGATGTAATTGGTGGTTTTAATCAGATATTACATCATTATAATCAACAACAACATTCACCAACAACAAATAATTCATCACCTCAAGATTCCTGCAATAATTCACCGGGTCAAACACCGGGAACTACAATTAGTAGCGGATCAGCAGCAATGGTAATCGATGGTGCAACAATATTATATTCTAATTCAAGCAGTGATAATCAACAAATGATGAATTGGAATATTGTTCGCACAATGAATAATGATAATAATGGTAATAATGATACTGATGATAAATTTTTACTCAGTGCATCGTTACCAGATGCCCATCTAAGACCACGTTCATGTGAAGTACCGGGTATAAATATTTATCCCAGTCAAGAAGATGGTACTATGACCAATAATAATAATAATCAAAATGATACGAATCAAATACATCATATAACAATATCATCCAATACCGGTTCATTACCGGATCTAACTAATTTAAATTTTCCTGTGCCATTAAATGTACCAATAGATGGTACAACTGATGAACAACAACAACAAAATCTTATGAAACATATATCGAATAATGTGAATACAAATTCATCTTATTCAAATGGACCGGATTCACCTTATTCACCAACATCATCTCACAATTCCAACCTTTCACCACCGCCACCGTGCACAATGATGCAACAACAAACACAATCACGAAAAAATCAATCACCAAATCGTCGGCAACAATCACCAGGACCATCACCATCACCAACAGCACAACGTCGTCGTGCACATCATAATGCCAATACAATGGTCATGGGTAATCCACGACAACAACAAGCTCAACAAACGCAACAACAGCAGCAAGTATGTTTGATTGTCATTTTCATTTACAAAAGCATCATCCAAATATCCAGCTTTTAGCATCCCAAGATTCCCAAATCTAATAAACAACTATTCCTTAAGTTTAAACTCGAAATAACACACAAACAGATATTCATTCAATTTAAGGTTTCCTTATTAACTATCAATTGACCTTCATTTTTCATCGCTTCTGTATTCATATTATTAACCTTAGAATCATTATAAATGAAAATTCCCATTATCTTTTCTATTAGGGTATAATGATGGTTACAAACGAATGTTGTGGTGATGATAATCGTTTACCTCCATTATCACCTTATAATCATCATCAATATTCACCAAATTCTCCTCATCAACATCACCAACAACAATCGAATAATTTAACTAATGTAAATTTAATAAATGGCCATTCGACATCACCTTCATCTTTCCATCACCAACAAATGAATAATCATTTTCAGTTCGGAAATCATGCAACCAGTACGCCCATTACAATGACTTGTCCCAATGTAATTTTTTTTTTTGATTATTCAGATTTTATTGCTATTGAATCAATATCCTAAACAAAGAAAGAATAATAACCCAAAACAAATTGCAAATAGAAACAATTGCCCAGAATTTGGATCGTTTAATTGATTTTTTTTTCTCCAAAATTATTTGGAATATTTGATCGATTTGTTGATTTATTTTTATTCATTCGATTTTTATTGTATTTTCTTATTTTTCTTAGATGGCAACGATGGGGGCACATCGCAGCACAACTCCAAGTGATTCGTGTTCTGCACCAACATCGCCCGCATCTCAGAATATATCACCATCAAATTCACCCGAATTAGCTATCAATAATGTTGGTGGTGGAGGTAATAATCAACCGAATGGTCTATCAAATGCATCGACTTCGACAAATCAACATTTTAATCAATCATATAGTTCTCCATCGTATCAAAATCAACAGCAAGCTAATTTATTACAACATCAATTGGAACAATTTCGTATGACAAATGATACGGAACCCGGTGGCTATGTGGTAATTATTATTTATTTTGTTTGTAAATTGGTTTCCAATTTTAATTTTTTCTATTCATAGATGGCTTGTACGGCCGATATGATTCAACAGCAGCAGCAGCAGCAACAACAACAACAACAGCAACATGGAAATAATGGCCAAAATTCCAATGTATTTTATCTTGATTCAATCACATTAAATCAATTTAATGATAATACATCGACAATTGTAATGTCATCATCACCACAGCATCAATCACAGCAACAACAATTTAATTCACAACCACCTTCAACACAACAAGATCACCAACAAGGATCACCATTTGGTCAAAATGATGGTCTTTTTTATGATTCAAGTCAATCATTAACATTGAATACAATGCCAACAGAATCATTTCTAAAAACTGATCTGCCTGGACTTTATCAACAGCATCAAACACAAAATAATGGGCAACAACATTTGTCAAATTCAAGTCATTGTACAACGCCTCAAACACCATCAAGTATACCGGATATTATTTTAACTGGTAAACAATGAACAAAATAAATTATCATTATACCAGTAATAATCCTCATATTTTATCTTGTTTTTTTTTCAATTATTATATAGGTCCGAACAATCTGGATGAAACATTACAAACATCGAATGATTTAATCAAAGATCTCAATAATATGAGCTCATTCGATACTGATATATTTGGTTGTCATAATGATGATATACGTGGAACAGTTGGAACATTCGATTCATTCGATCTAGATAGTCTACAAATGTTGAATGACATTGAAACAAATCATCAATGATGAAAAATATTTTTTGTTTTGTTTTGACTTTGTTATTGTTCACCGGATTCAATATAAATTTCATTTGTTCCAATATTATTTTTGAAACGGGAATTATCTTGGCACAGAAAAAAAATTTATTATAAACCCATTACCTATTACAAAGTCCAATCCTTAAAAACCTTATGTGTTCTTGTGTGTGTGTGTGTGTTTGTACCAAAGTTTCATTCTTCTTCACTTAAATTATTTATTATTTCAACTTTTTTTTTAAATATCAATTTTTCATCATCATTAAGATTTTGGAGTGGAAAAAAAAATAAATGAGATTAAACTCTTGAATACAAAAGAAAAACATCATAACCAACAACCAAACCATATATGATTTGATTTAGAATACAAGAAAACAAATTTTTCCCATTTTTTTCATTCATGTTTTATTCATTCGATACTATTTCTTTTTTCTTTTTTTTGTTTCAATGTTAATTCCGATTTATGTTATTAGATTTTATGTTTTGTTTTGTTTTGCCAGTCTTTAATTCTATTATCATCTATCAGATCAATCAATCAAATTACACTGAAATGGTACATTCACAGAGATCCAGATATATATCCAGAAACAATTTTTTCCTATCTGTGAAATTTCACTAAATATATTCCTGATTTAAAATGTAATGGGTGATTTGTGTTTGTGTTTGTGTGTTTGTATTGTGTGTGTGTGTGTGTTTACAATCAATTTGAAATCAAATTTTTTTCCCTCACTCTTTCTTTCTTTCTATTGACGTCCATTTTTCATCATTTATACCGGAAATTCTTGAAAATTCTTCTTTCTTTGTTTTGTTTTGCCAATATACTATTGATGATCAACAATCGATATTGTTTTCTTTCTTTCTTTCTTTTTTTTTCTCCGGTGTTTATTCTATTCATTTTTCATGGTTCTCTTTTCCTGTTGCTATATATTCTTGTTATTCTTTCTTTTTTTCTATCCAGGTATATTTACAACAAAAAAAAAACACAAAATTTTCTGAAACATATATATTGTTGCTGCCCTTTTCAATTTCATCGTTTGTACAAACATTTTATACAAATAATAATATTTAAAAAAAACCGCCCTGTGAATACAATCGAGAAAAACAACAACAACAACAATTTAAATCCAATCATCAAATTAACATTGATAAACACACACATATACATTCAGGATAAACTAATCTAATCAATCTACCTTGGGTTTTTCTTTTTCTTTTTCTTTTTTTTTCATTGAAGAAAATTGTGTGTGTGTGTGAAGTGAAGTGAAAAAAAATTGAATTTTGAAAACAAAATGCTGAATAAACCGCACCTATGTTTCTTAAATATGCACACACACACCTACCAACCTACACACAAACACCGAATTTGACCAAACTAAAATCGTGATCATAATTTATGACCAGATAGACCCTGTTTTGAATATGGTTGTTGAAATTTTTTCATTCTTTAAAAATCATGATTCTGGCTTCTTTTTTTTCGTTTGGTTATCACAAGAATTCACATACACACACACACTGATTGATGACGATAAACCACCACCACTCTTTAAATCTTTTTTTCATCCATTTTCTACATTTTACATTCTTATATCTTGAATTTTTTTTTTGTTTCTTACCATTATGCAAAATCGGGGAAAATGGAAACTTTCAAACCTGTTGATCAATCAGGTCAAACGAACCAGATTTTCTTTTCTTTTTTATACTTCAAATTTGCAAAAATTCTTTATGATTTTTTGGTTGTTTTTTTGTTTCTCTAAATTCTTTTTTCCTTTATCCAATTCTATAGACCTGTGTGTGTGTGTCTGTGGTATGAATTTACACGGAATTTTTCTATTTTGCAAAATTTTGGTTTTTCTTTTCTCTCTTTCTCATCACATGCATCACCTTTTTTTTATATAAATAAATATTCAGCACATTCACCCACCCATCAACATACACACACACACACCTCGATTGTAAATATTGTTTGATTTAAACGACACAGAATATTCTCTACACAACACAACGCAACACACACGGTTGTAATCTCTGAAATCATCATCCGCATTGCCAAAATAATTGAAAAAAAATCATTTTCATCATCATTACATTACGATTTATTCAATCAAAACAAAATTTGATTGATTAACATTGTTGTTGTTGTTGTTGGTTTTTTTAAATGAATTTTTCTTTTTCTTTTTTCACTCACTTACCTCTCTTTTTTTTTGAAGAAATTTTTTTCAAATTTTGAATTCAACCTATCAAAGTGGTATGTTTTTGTTTTTTCTTTCTTTCTTCAATTCCATCATTATCATAATTGTTACACTTTTATTGAATTTGAAATTTTGTCAAAAAAAAAAAACAACAACAATAACAAACTCATCAAATCATTGTTCGTTTTTTTTAATCCTTTGACCTTTCCACTTTTGAAATATTACATAACACTCACACTCACACACACACACATTTACTTACATACCTTATTATTAATTATATAAATATGTCTCTAATGAAAATAAAAATTTATCATTTTTTTTTTGATGGATGAAACAAATCAAAATCAATTTTTTCTTTACTTGAATGGAAAATATCATTTTCCATTCCTCATTCAAGGTAAACAGTGATTGGTTTTTCTTCTTACCTATTTTGGAAAACAGAATTTGAAAATAGAAGACGAGGAAGAAGAATTTCCAGAAAATCGAATATTTCTCTTGCTTTCCTATACCAGAAGAGATGTATATATAGAGAATATTTGAATGATGATGTTCGATTCGAATCTATTCATTCGTGTTAGTTCAACAACAGCTATATATATTTGTGCTCGAATTTTTCTACGTTTTTTTTTCACTTCCACATCTGCAACAAACCTAAATGGATTCTTGTTCCAAGAATTTTTCTTCGTTTTCTGAGGGGTCGGGGAGGGAGAGTGGTGTTTTTGTTTTGCACATTTGTTTTTGTTTTTCCGAATTTCCACTGAAAAAACAAAAACAAATTTAATTCACACAATTTTCATGTCTGTAACGAAAAAATTTTTTGTTTCTGAATTCATTCATTCATTCAATAATAGATGATAATAATACCAAAAAAAAATCAATGTTGAATAATCATATTACAGCATCATCATTTGTAAACATGACAATGATAGAATCATCATCAGATGTTGAAACAACAACAACAACATCGATTGTACATTCAATCATCAATCATAATACATCAAATCAACAACAACAACAAACAGAAGAATTATATATTAGTTCAAAAATTGTTGTCATTATTTATAGTATATTATTTATAATATCAAGTATTGGTAATACAACCGTATTTATATCATTAATAAAAAATCGTCATCGAAAATTACGTATAAATTTAATGATTTTAAATTTAACAATTGCCGATCTAATTGTAACATATATAATGATACCGTTGGAAATTTGTTGGCGTATTACAAATGAATGGCTTGCCGGTGATATTGTTTGTAGAATTATGCAAGCATTTCGTGCATTTGGTCCATATTTATCCAGTATGGTATTAGTTTGTATATCGTTAGATCGTTATTTTGCTGTTATACATCCAATGAAAGTTAATGATGCACATCGTCGTAGTAAAATTATGTTAACATTTGCTTGGTTGATTAGTATTGTTTGTAGTGTACCACAGGTAATTTTTTTTTTTTCGTTTGTTTAATCAAATTATAATATTGATTTTGATTTTGATTTTAATTTTCTTATTTCAAATCAATCAATCACCTAATATATTATAGACAATTGTATTTCATACTGAATCACATCCACAATATCCAGATTTTGTACAATGTGTTTCATATAATTCATTAACCGAACGACAAGAAATACTTTATAGTACATTCGGTATTGCAGCATTATATCTAATACCATTGATTATAATTATATTCTGTTATGTAAGAATTATATGGGAAATATATAAAAGATCAATACAATTATCAAAAGGTAATAATTCATTCATAATAGATTTGTTCTTCTTCACACTATTAAATACTTCCTTTTTTAAATTAATATTTATAGATAATCGAAATAATAATGTAGAAAAATGTAATCAACGTACAACGATGCATATCAATAATGATAATCAAGATTGTCATCAACAAACTAATTCAGTTGGTTCGGGTGTTAGTGATGAACAAAATAATAATAATAATGATCAAAATGATAATAATAATAATCGTAGTAAAAGTCGATTCCATTTACGACGTTCCGATCTATCACAGGTAGAAAAAGCACGTATTCGTACATTACGTATGACAATTATTATTGTTATGGCATTTGTTTGGTGTTGGACACCATATGCATCGATTGTATTATTATTTCATTTTTATAAACCACAAGTAGAAAATATGCACAAAGATTTAAAAGATGCTTTATTTATGTTTGCTGTTTCAAATTCCTGTGTTAATCCACTTGTTTATGGTTCATATACAATGAATTTTCGTCAACATTTTTGCCATTTTTTAAGACGATTATCGTTTTGGAAACGTCAAACGATTAATATACCACAATCAAATCGTTCTATATATCTTGATGATCAGACTAGCTATTCGGGCTTAAACACATCAACAACATTATTTCAGAATAATAATAATAATAATAATATGGACCATCATCATCATCATCAATCATCAAATTCTAGCTGTCATTCGAATAAATATTGCCATACAGATGATTGATGATTAATTGATTGAATTGACAAGCCAAATTTCAATGAATTTAAGATTTTATTCTTTTTCTCATCAAAAAAAAATTGTCGAATCCCTTCACTTCTAAACAATCGATTATTAATAATCGATATTTTTGTTTCCATCTATCTATCATTTGTTAATTATGTTTTTGTATAATCGTACGTTACAATTATTGAAAAATAAATTAATATTTAATCATTTTGATTATCAAAGACAACAATTTTATTCGATAATGTCAACGAAAAAAGCATTGGTAATTTTGACTGAAGGTGCAGAAGAAATGGAATTGGTCATTACGGCCGATGTACTTCGCCGTGCACAGGTTTGTTTTTCAATGAATTTTCGCATTTACTTAAATCAATTGTTATCAGATTGATACAACGATCGCTGGACTAAATACAATAAATCCGGTAAAATGTAGCCGTAATGTGATGATTGTTCCGGATAAAAATCTATCCACTATAAATGTTAATGAATTCGATGCATTCGTTTTGCCTGGTGGTATGCAAGCGGCAAATACATTCGCAAAGGTAAAATTTTCAATATAGAAAGAAGTATTATCAATCAATAACAATGATTAAATTTTTTTTTTATAAAAAACAGGATGAAACGATTGGAAAAATATTGAAACAATTTGAACAGGATAAAAAAGTGATTGCAATCATTTGTGCATCACCAATTGCATTGAAACATCATGATGTTGGTTTGAATCGACGTATTACATCACATCCATCCGTTGCCGAACAATTAACAGATAAATTCAAATATAGTGAAGATCGTGTTGTCAATGATGATGGCCTTATTACAAGTCGTGGACCTGGATCTGCATTTGAATTTGCATTGGAAATTGTCAGACAATTATTGGGTGAAACAAAAGCTAAAGAAATTCAACCACCAATGATGTTAAAAATGCCTTAAAGTTTAATTTGATTATATTTTTATTTTATTCAACAAGAAAAATTTAAAACTGTCAAACTATATTCACAAATTCTAAAATACAAAAAAAAATTAGTTATAATTGAAATAATAATTGTTTTTTTTCATTTATCTTATCATCATCATCATCATCGTAGATTATTTTGTAGAAGCGAATGTAATAAAGTTGTATAGATGAATTTTTTTACTTTTGTTTATTCATAAATACTTTTCTGAAAAATTCTGCAATTCTGATGTTAATGTACGAACTTCATTTTTCAAAACAGTAATCATCTGTTCCTGTTGATTCAATAGTTGTACTTCTTGTTCTAATTTTTGTATATCTTTTTGCATCTGTTCAACAAATTGATCGACCATTCGATTCAAACGTGCAAATGTTGATGATAATTCTCTGTAATGAAATAAATAAATTTAAAGAATTTGTTATAATCGGAAATATAAAACTTACTGTTGTACTTGATGTGAACAATTAGCACTAGTCAAATCGATAATAAGACGTAATTTTTTTGTTGCATGTGCTACATATTGTTTTTTGAATGCATTCTCTTTGGCTTTTGTGGTCCATGAGAATCGTTCATAAACATATAGCAATACATAAATGGCACTGGTTATGGCAATTACATGCCAACCAATAACACGAATTAAACTACCACCAACGGCCAATACAATTATTGTAGAACGTGAACTAGCTAATTTATCTAATAGATCAAGATGATCGGTAGTCGTACGAATTAATGATTGATTATGGCTTAAACTATTGCTTGGTTGTTGTGATATTGATAAATTACTTTTATCAATTTCATTTTTCGATGAATTTCCAGCACCACCACCACCGGTCAATAGACGAACTAATTGAAAAAAGCCATAACTAAAACGAAATTCAAGATCTTCTTGAAAATCTGAACATAATGATTCACAATTGATTCGATAAATAAGTTTAAAATCTTGTTGTGATGAAACTTGATTCAATAAAAGTTGATCAAAATTCATTTCGGATATGAATCGTTTAACACCATCAATCATTTGTCGTTGAGTTGCTTCAACATTACAGGATAATGCCGATGATAATCGTGATTTAAGATTTGAACCAAGACCTTGTTCAACATGAACATGAAGTTCTTTTTTATATAAATTCAATGAAATTTCATCTGTATTAAATGGTCGATCAAAATCATTGACTAATGTAGACAAACGTCGTATTTCATCATTCAATGCGGTAGAAACTTTTTGTTCTACTTGTTTGACCAGATTACAAATCTGTAATTTAACTTCATTAGTGAATATATGAAATTGTTGTTTGATTTGTTGCATACGATCTTTCATTATTTTGATCTGATTACGTTTTTCATTTCTTACATCAATTGTTTTGGCCGATATTGCCATTAAAAATCGGCTGAAATCATCAGTCATTTTGATTATTTCCATTGTATGTTGACCAAATTTTGTTTGAACAGCCGATTTCGATAGACATTGTTCGAATTTTTTCTCAAAATCCAAAAATTCACGAAATCTTGATTCAAAACCATGAGCATAGTTTGAGGTATTGATTTGTTTTCCTTCTTCAAGCTCTAGACGAGCACGTAAAACTTCGATAGCCGAAACAAAGAATACATGATTCTGGGCAGTTTGTTCATCCAATACGCCCATATCATTAACTAGAAAATCTTTATCACGTTTTAGATGTTGTTTACGTACTAGATCCAAACTATCTAATTCATGTGCTGAAGCATCCCAACGATTATTCAATATGAATATATTCGGTTTTGATAGTTTTTCTTTTACTTTGATAAAGAAATTTTTTTCAGTTTGCATCAATGTTGATTCAGCATTCGAAACTAGAACAAACACATCGGCATCCAAACAATAAAGATCGATCCATTTATCAAGATTGGCTGTCACATCTGTACCGGGTGAATCAACCAATACAACATCATCATGTAAAATTGAACATTTTGATTTTGGCCAATAAACTTTGACCAATGTTGAATCGCCTAAACTTTCGGTATTCAATGCATTAGCTAAATGTTTTACCGATTCAATATTGTGTCGTTGATTTTCCAAAACAATAAATGGTTCAGTTTCATCAGTTCCTTCTACCTGTAGAAAACAATTAGTAGTATGGCCAATACCAGCTGGTAATATTTTATTCTGTAATATGGCATTGATAACCGTACTTTTACCATTACTAGTACGACCAAAAAAAGCAACTTTCATATTATTACGTGCAAGAACATCACGAATACCGGCAATTTTTTCAACCGAATTATCAATAAAATTTAAATTATTCTGATCAAGCATTGATTCATCATATGAACGATAAAATTGATCAACATTTTTAACAAATCTTTCAGCTTTATTAAATAAATCATTTATATCTTTTTTAGCTGAAACAAAAATCCGTAATGGATTATCATCACCTGTTGAATTGAAATCTAAAGTCATAATGTTATTATTATTGTTGTTGTTTGTTGCTGTTTGTGAAAAAGACGATAGGCCATTCGAGACAAGAGTCAGTGAACGATTTATAATTGAAGCCATGCAATTTTCAAACAAAAATCAATAATCATATGTTTAATAATTTGATCATTTGTTTAATTTTTCTGTTTGTTGTTTCGATGATTAATTTGTTAAGTCGAAAAAAAAATTCGATTTAGCAAAACAAAAAATAAAGAATTTTTTCTTTTTTGGCAAAAACAAAACAAAAAACAGGCTACATGAATACCATGCAACCAGAAAACACAAAAATGTTTTTCATCAAATGCATTCGATTTGGTATACACACAGAGAGAGAGAGAGAGAAAAAAAAAAATGGTTCATCCATCCATCCATCCATGGCCAATGTGAAATTGAGAATAACATTGCCCGTACATAATCTACGTACGTTTAGTAAAATTCGGAATTTTCTTTTTATTTAGAAAAATTAAAAACTCAAAATTGAAAATTTTTTCATTTTTTTTTGTTGACATTTTGGCATTTTATCTACATCATATTCATATTTGATAATTCACATCGATATTCCACCAAAAAACAAGATTAATCATAATCAAATTAAATGTCAAAGAATTAAAAAATCAAACGTAATTCATATTTTTGTTTTCCAAGAATTACCATGATTCGAAAATATCGATTGTTAAAATCGATTATTATGTATGTATGTTTATAATAAAAATAAATAAATAAATTGAATGAAGAAATTTCGAGAAGCGTATTTATGCAAATTCGGTATTTAGGTTGTTGATGTTGTTGAAATCAACTTAATGATAGGCCAATAGCTGGCTCATCAAATTCAATATTCAATCATATAATCTCGATTTTTGCCTTTGATATAATTAAATTTTTTTGGTATAACATTCGACATTTTTCTACATCATCGAATTTGTTTAAAAAAAATATCATTTTTGAATTTATTTCACATTTCTTCCACGTCAAGTCTTCTACGTTTTAGATTGATCTCGTTTGATTTTATTAAAAAATACAATTTGTGTCTACCAAAATGGCCCGTAAGTTCTTATAATTTATGTTTTTATTTTCGAATAAAAAAGATATCATTCGTTTCGTTTATTAAAAGGTGGAAATCAACGTGAATTAGCAAGACAAAAAAATCAGAAAAAACTTCAAGAACAACAAAAGAAAAAAGCAGCCGATTCAAAAGATGGTAATCGTGGTTTAACGCTTGATGAACGTCGTCATCGTGATGCTGAAATGATGAGATTAAAACAAAAGAAAAAAGAAGAAGAATTGGCCCAAAAACAACAACAAAAATAATAATCGAATATATCTTATTTATAACACAGTCATATGAAATGTTTTGATTCAAACATAACAAAACAATGAAATTGAATATGATAATGAAAAATTCATCCACTATTTCAGTTTTTCTCCGATAAAATCTTATCCAAAATGAAAATGATCGACAAAGAATTTTCATTGCAAAAAAAAAAAATAATGTATTAAATAAATGATTGAAAATTCATCTGAATGATTCATATTTTTTTTTGTTATTATTTCATTTATTTATTTATTTATTATTCACATCCCTTTACCATATATTAATCATTTTGTTGTCGATTCTTTGTCGAACAATGACAACGACAATTATTCATTGTATTCGATTTACGAATATCACGTTGTGCTTGAAAATATCCAGTATGATAACCAGTCATATACCATGACATAAGCATCGATGCTAATGTATCTTCTTCATTCATCATAATAGATTGATTATTTGATGAAGATAATTGTGGATTTAAACCAAAAAATGGTGGCGGTGGTGGTATTATTCGACTTGTTCCAGTCATAAATTCATTTGGTTGATTATGATATTCAGTATAATCACCAGTTTCATTTTCTGGTTGTTCCTGTTGAATATTACCATAACCATCTTTAATGGCCATCTGTATTTGCATTTCACGAAAATTATTTCCAGCTGATGATCTTAGTTCGGATAATTGTCGCCATTCTTCATTCTCATAACCAATATAACGAACTAAACATTGACCATTCGAATGATTCAATTCAATAATTTGTGCTTCATATTCAATATTATCTTCGGCGTATATCAAACGACAATAATCTCCTTGTTTCCAGTTGATTGTTTGGTATTGTTGTTGTTGTTGTTTCGATGTACTATTATCCTGAGTAACTGTTTTGTTAGGTTGAGAAAATTTCTTATTTTTTGATTTCTTAGCATTATTAGTGTTCGATGAAGACGAAGTTGTTATTGTTACTGTTGCTGGTTTTTGCGGTGGTGGTGGTGGTGTTGTTGTTTGTTGTTTTATTTTCGAATCATTATTATTGGCATTGGTTTTATTTTTATGATTCGAATGTTTTTTACGTAATGCTTCGGCAATTTCACGTTGTGATTGTTCATACATTTGTATCAAAATCGAATCATCCCAAACATCTTGATCGTTCAATATGATTTCATCATCAACACCATAATCATTTTCTTCATCATCTTCATATTCATCAGATTCTTCTTCACGTTCTCGATAAAAATTTTCTTTAGAATCTGGTGCTGTTGAATTCATTTCTATTTGTTTTGATGATTGTTTATTATTGTTTCGTTTCAACCATACAATTCCATTCAATTCTTCATAGCTCATTACAATTGTGTTCGTTGATCAACAATAGAATTAATATGGTTTTCAATTAGGAAAAAAACGGAGTGAAAATTGTTAATTTTCAAATATAATAAAATTGAAAAATTCTAAATAAAAAAAAATTTTTTTTTTGCTGTTGTCAAAATAGCATGCCGAATTTGATCACGTGATTTGAAAAAGCGCCAAACTTTGAATAGAGTTGCCCAATATGGGTTGATATAGTAACGGAAAATTGACTCATTTTTTTTACACATATATTCCACTTTTCCGTTCGATGTGTGTTATTAAATAGAAAACTTTCTTTCTTTTTTTCCAAAAAAAAAAATGGCAACCCTTCCAATGTAAGTTTCATTAATGTTGACATTCTTTTTCAAATTTTTATAATCGTTTTCTATTCGAATTAAGCGTACGAAAAAAGAAAATAACTGCGATTAAATCACCGGCAAAACCATCACGTGTGATTACTAATGCTGGAAATAGAATCGATGAAATTTCGACAAAATCATTGAAATGTGAACGAAAATTACGAAAACCATCACGATCGATTGATTGTGTTGATATTGAATATGCAACATTGCCACCACTTCCGGACATTCCAATTCTTGATGAATCATTTGAAGCATCTATTGATAATGAAAAATTTCCGAAAGATTGGCTAGATGCGATTGAAAAACGAATGCAAAAATTTGAAATCAACGAAAAAATAGAAAAACGTAATCAACAACGATTTCGTGATGCAATCAATAAAATTGAAAAGGAAAATATTTTGCTTAAAAATGAAAATGAAAATCTTAAAGCCGATATTGAATGTCGAAGAATTCGATTGAATGAATATGAGAAAAAATTCCATTCATCCATTGAAGAATGTTCAACGTATGAAATGAATATGAAAAAAGTTTTGATGGAAAATTCTCGTCTTCTTTATCAATTGAATCAGAAAAAAATCGAATGCCAAAATCTTCAGGATAAACTTAAAAGTATTCGAGAAAATATTGCCATCGTATTACGTGCCGAGCATGAAAAGATGAAAAATCTTTTGATTGATTCATTGGCTAATAAAAATCTACAAGAACAAAAACATCATCAACAACAAGAAGCTAAATTTCAAGTTCTTCAAAATCTATTCAATACTGATGCATCATCTTCGGAAACTATGCATATGGTTAATTCGTCAACAAGACGACAACGTTCCAACAGTGAATCATCAGTAAGCCCGGAAAAAACAAACAAACGTGATTTAATAAGATCGAATGCTGCAACACCGGTTGTCAATCCAAAATATGATCATGAAACAGCTAAAACAAACGGTAAATGGATTAATCATCAACCAACATTAATGCTGCCTATGGGTACCATAATGAAACCAGTTATTAAAAATAAAAAATCCGTTACACAATTAAAAACATCGGATTTTTATGGAAATCGTCGTTCAGCTGCATCGAAATATGCACTTATACATCATGAAGCTACCAATTCTGGTTCAATTGAAACAAAAATATTCAAAGGTAATGTTATACCATCAACTGCCGGTGGTGCACAGATTGTTTTCAATGATGTTGAATTATTAAAACAAATACCACCTTTGTAAAAAAACATTGTTTGATGAACAAAGTTTTCAGAATAATCATCGAATAATTTCAAAAAACTTTTTTTTTCGTTGTATTTCATTTTCAAAATTTCCATATCAATTTTATAGTATAAAATGTTATCGTTATTCTGTTTGTTACATGCATTTATAATTAAAAAAATATAATAATTTTCTTAACGATCCGATGATGATGATGATGATTTATCATAATCATGAATACAATATGTATCAATGAATATAATTGCCAATAATGGAATAAGTAAAATGAATGCAGCCACTTGAAAAACTAGACCAGGATAAACATCAATTGTTGATGTAAATATAATTGAATAAAATAATGAAGCAATACCAGGTGTAACAGCTTCAACAATAGCTAATAAGGCAAATAATTTTCCACGTTCATCATTTTCAATAATTTTTGATAATCTTGATCGTATACCAATCACTGATAATGGTGCTAATGTACCGGCAATGAACGATAAATAAAGGCCAGTTTCATGTTGCCATGAACCACGTAAAATACATTGACCCATTAACGATAGAACGCCCAATAATGCTAGCCGTAGATCACCGTATTGAAGTATATGTACAAAAATTGGCAATACTAAACCCATCAAAATCAATGTACCAATGGCAGTCATTGATGTAATATTTGAATAGAATTTCGGTGGCCAGCTAAATAATTTTTCAACATATGACCATAAAACAAATGTTGTATTCAGATAAACAAGCAATAAAAATGCTGTCGAAAAGAAAAGTATCCAAATCTGTTCACGTCCCCAATGAGATCGTTGACGAATCAATGTACGCCATAGTCTGCTAACATGATCTAAATGAAAAATATTTAGAAATTCATTCCAAATTAGTCGTGATCGTTGTGAAATTCCATTAAATGATATGAGAGATGAGTTCATTGCATAGGATTCATTCATTGATTCGTTTGGTGTTAGGATTTCTTCACGATCACTATTGATACATGTTACCGGTACACCTGGTTCAACATCTGGCTGATCAATTTCAAAAGGCAGCGGATGTGATGAACGAATTGGTTGTGGTAAATCCAACAATGATTGTTGTTCATCGATAACTAAAATGGCCCAAATAATTGCAGCAATATGTGCACAAAGACTAACAACAAATACCGGTATATAATTATAAAGCTGAAATTTTGTATTCTGATCACCATCGCCAAGTATTTGACCACCAATAAACGAACCAATTGGTTGTGCTATCCAGAAACAAATTTCAACAATTGCAAATCGAGTTGAACGTGTATATTTATCACTGGTAGCTGAACAATAAGCATATATAGCCATCAATGTAGCAACAATTCCACCGGTAAATGCTGAAGGTATAAATGATAATAAAACATAATAACCACCTGTAGAATCATAATGAAAAAAATCAATCATTCATGTATAATGATTATATCAAAATTTCGAAACATACTTAGATCAAATAATGAAGCATTAATAATTAAAATAATTGATTCAAGTGCTGCAGCTATTGCACCAACAATCATAATATATTTACGTCCATTAACATAATTATCACTCCAAGGACCAAGAAATAATGCCCATATAATACATGGAAGTGTTGATAATAATGTTCGATACAGTGTAATATAGGTAGCATCTTTGATTATATTCGATTTAATTGTTTCACCACCATGATCAAAATCAGCCGAATTTATTGATATACAAAATATTGATGATTGATCATAATCAACACGACATAATTTATCCTGTACCAATTGTGATACGGCCATTGCCGATAATGAATAACCGATCATATACAGTAAAATAAATGGTTCAACACGTAATTGTCGTATATTGACATAATGATGCCATGATAATTTTTTGGTTTCTTCATCCATAATAATGATCTAAAATAATGGTAAATGAATTAATTAATAATTATTTCAAGAAGAAAAAAACATTTGAGTTTTTTAAAAAAAAACAATTGTCATAATCAAACATAACAATTTATTTTCTATCCACCAGAAAACTAATCATTTCATTGTCCTGATCATATCATAAATAAACAAATGAAATTGTCAACAAAATTGACAGCAAAATAAATAATCTAATAAAATTGACTGATTAATTGATAGAAATTGTCTACTGATCAACAATTTTTGAATCAAAGATTCTGAAATTGAATAAAATGATTTGATGATTTAATGATTATTGAGAAAAAAAATTTACCGAATCAAGTCCATTGAAACAAAACAAAAAATTGTCAACAAAATCGATGATTTAGATACAGATGATGGGGGTGTATTTTATTGATTTGAGTATTTTTTTTTTTTTTTTTTTTTTTTTTTTTTTGGAAAATTTTTTTTTTTTTTTTAAAAAANAAAAAAAATTGTCAACAAAATCGATGATTTAGATACAGATGATGGGGGTGTATTTTATTGATTTGAGTATTTTTTTTTTTTTTTTTTTTTTTTTTTTTTTTTTTTTTTTTATTTTGGTTTTTTTTTTTTTTTTTTTTTTGATCAGTCTTTGGAAAATTAATTCGTTTAGATTCGAATCGTTTAGACTTTCATCATAATTGTTGCGACGCAATAATTTTTTTTTTGTCAATAATAAATTGACAACAAGAATGATATTTTGATCGATTGATTTTGATTAAAAGAAGAAAAAAAATATGAAAAAAAATTCAATTTCGAACCAAATGATCCTAGCGGAGTAGAAATAGATGAATCTTTTGACTCACACGATTTTTATTTTATTTGTATAAAATGTGAAGCATGCATGCTGGAATTTGTTAATTTTTTTTCCCATTTTCGACCGGTTACATTTGTTTTATTCGATTTTGTTTTTTGTTTTTGTGATTATATTCCTACTCAAAGAAAATAATGGCTTCTGGTGATTCTGATATTCCCGGCAAGGTTTGTATTTTTCCTTCTTGGTATAAGTTTTTTCTTATTTAAATCTTATCAATTGATTAGATGGATAATTTAAATATTGAAAATGATGGTAATGCTTCTCAAAATGGCGATGAAAATGGTATGATTATTATTTTCTACTTTGAATTCCCAATTTTATAGATTTGAATTTTTTTTTTAAATAGTAACACCCGCTGAATTTTCATTAATGCGAAAAGCATTACGTTCGAAATTGATTCATACAACTAATCAGGTTGATGTTTTTCAAAATGATCCGAATAATCCATTATATTCGGTAAAATCATTTGAAGCTTTAAATATTCCGGAAGAATTAATTCGTGGTATTTATGATATGGGATTCAGTAAACCGTCACGAATTCAAGAAACAGCTTTACCATTACTGCTTGACAAACAGTGAGTGTTTCTCATTTTTTTTTATAAATAAAATGAATTTATCAATTCTTTTTCTAGTCGTACCAATTTAATTGCACAATCTCAATCTGGTACGGGTAAAACTGCAGCTTTTATACTTGCAAGTTTATATCGTGTCGATGTTTCACAACAAGAACCACAAATTATAATATTGTCACCAACTTATGAACTTGCTTTGCAAACTGGAGAAGTTGCCAAACAGATGGCTAAATATAAACCCGAAATAACTATAAGATATGTTATCCGAGGTGAAACATTACCACGAAACACAAAAATATCGGAACACATTTTGATTGGAACACCTGGCAAAATGATCGATTGGGCATTGAAATATAATTTTTTCAATATCAAAAAAATATCTGTATTCGTATTGGACGAAGCCGATGTTATGATCGATACACAAGGGTTACGTGCACAATCAATTCGTTTGAAACAATATCTGCCTAAATCATGCCAAATGATGTTATTTTCTGCTACCTATAGTGATGAAATTATGGATTTTGCTCGACAAATCATTCCTGATCCGGTTGTAATATTAAAATTACGACTTGAAGAACAAAGTTTGGATAACATTAACCAGTATTATATTGTTGTCCGAAATGAAGAGGAAAAATATGAAGCATTGACTAATCTATTCGGTACAGTTGCCATTGGACAGGCATTTATTTTCTGTGAGACTAAAATTTCTGCATCGAGACTGGTGCAACAACTTCGAAAGGTATGAAGTTTTTTTTGATTTTTTTTTTTTGTTAATGCCATTTGTTTCATTAAATCTATAGGATGGCCATTCTGTTGGTTTAATATCCGGTGATCTTACCGTTGAACAACGAAACGAAGCTTTACGACGATTCCGTGATGGACAAGAGCGTGTAATTGTAGCTACAAATGTGATGGCACGTGGTATTGATGTTGAACAAGTTACAATTGTTATCAATTATGATTTGCCAACCAATCCGGAAACAAGAAATATTGATTTTGATACATATTTACATCGTATTGGTCGTACTGGACGTTTTGGTAAAGAAGGATTGGCCATAAATTTTGTTGATGGTGATCGTACAATGCAAATGATTCGACAATTGGAAGAACATTTTAAACGACCAATAAAAAAATTGGATGCTACCGATGTGGATGAGATTGAAAAAATTGGCAATGATATGTGAAACAAAAAAAAAACAACAACAAAATCGAATCGAATTGATTTTGTTAAGAATTTTTGTTTTCTCAAAGATAATTTGTAATCACAACTTTGATTGATTATAATTTCACTCACACTCATTAATACAAATAATGTTAATCATCATCACAATTTTTTTCTACTCTTTTTTTTTAATTGTCTTCATAATTTAATAATAACAAAATAATGATCATTTATATGAATTAAAAAAGTAAATTTTGTTTTCTTCATTTTGGAATCTAAATTCTGATTCGATTTTTTTCCCAAAAAAAAAAAAAAAAAAGATTTTGTGAAATTTTTTTTCCCATTCGAACACTTTTTTTGGAGTGGGGGAAAAAATCGAACATTGATCATTGATTCACTAATTGATTAATCGTACCCGAAGTGATGATAATGAACATCAAAGCAACAACAACAACAAATGAAAAATTCGTTGATACAAATTTGCAGTGTTTCGAAGTGTATTGAAGTGCCGATTTCCATTCATTTCAATTCATTATTCATACATCATGATGGTGTTTGATTACAAATGATTTTTTTTTCTTTCGCCACCATAGGAACTATAATATACATCGGTTATCAGCAAAATGACTTTTCGATTGAATAAAAATGAACGTTCGATTCGTACGAGAAAACAAAAAATAAAGTTGATCGGGTGAACAAAAAAAACTTTACAATTTCAATCTTGATTTTGATTAGTTCAAAAATTGAACATTCAAGTTTATTCTATGCATTGTTTTCATTATAAATCGATCCACATGATGTTTTTTTTGTTGTCTATGACGTAAAACACTTATAATTATTGTTTTTTTTTTGATGTTTTATCATGTTCGTGTGTTGGTGTAACGGGGTATGACTACAATTATCATTGTAGTTGTCCATGATATGAATGAATTGCTTTGATTTTGATTAAAATTTGAATAACATCATAATGTTGATGTGAAAATGGAAAATATTGAACCATATCAAATTCCCATTTGATTATGCTGAAATGATTAAAAATCCAAATCGAATAAAATAAATATATGGATGTTCTCGTTGAACGTCATAATTTTTTTTTGGTGATCGACACAATTTTTCTTTTTTCGCTGTTTGTATATAAATATAAAGAGTAGATCATTGAATTTGGTTGATTTTCAATTTTTATTTGAACGAATTTCTTTTTAAATGTGACAACAAACAGATTTTCCCTATTGAATCAACGGGTTTCAATTTTTTCCAATCAAACAATTCTTCAACAAGAAATTTCACTAGATGCATCTTTATTGGTATCATAGCTTAATTTAAAATTTGTAAACGACGATACAGATCAACAACCAAAAAAAAAAAAAATCCATACGGATGTATCTAAAATTTTTGATCGCAACATTGATCATTCTATTGTACAATGTACAACCAATCAGTAATGATGAACGTTTATTAACGGCCATACAATTTCTACAACAAAATCATGATGGATCAACGTCATTGGATCCATGTCGAATTGATCATAATAAAGGTAGGTGAAATTTTTTACAATTCGAGCAATTTTTTTTAACAAAATTTTTTTTAATTTGATACCGAAATTAGATTGGCTTTTGAGCTATTATAATAATTATCAACATACAAAAAATAATTTCTATCAACATTTACATCGATTACCATCATCATCATCATCATCATGTTCATCACAATCAACACAACAATTCACCTTTTTGATGCGTATACCCAATTTATTTCAACAATATTTTTATCATACACATGATTGTATAAAAATTTGGTCATCAGCCAATTTAGAATTAATACAGGCCATAACTAAAGTGATCATTTTAGTGATATTAAAAATATTCATCAAGTATTATGTACGATCCTATATACAATTTTATATAAAAAATATAACCATAAACGATATAATCGATTTATTATCAAAAGCAACAACAATTGCTATTGCAAAAATAGCAATCAAACGTTCACTATATCCTGCATTAAGAACGGCAATGAAAACAATGTTGATTGCCGGTCTAAAAACATTGATAAAATCATGGATGAAAAAAATCAAAAATCAAAATAAATTTGATATTGATTCAGTATTGGATAAAATCATTCGATTTTCATTAACTATACAAATCAAAACGATAATCAAAACGATTGCTTTACATATACTATGGTTAGTGTTTGAAAAAAATAAAAATGATCAAATTAATAATTTACCCGGACTAATGTTTCGTGTAGCTGTAATCATAACGGTAAAAATGGCCGCTAAACGTACATGTAAAATGGCAAAGAAAAAAAAAGATAAAATGAATTTGGAAAAATTGGAAAATAATTCAAATCCATCACCACCTGTTGATCAGATTTTATTATTTGCCATACAAAAATTGGTAACAAAATTGATCAAAATACCTTTGATCAAAATAATGTTTGATTGAATATTCAAAAAAAGAAAGAAAGAAAGAAAAGATTTTAATGTATCATATTATCATCGTTGCTGTAAATAAATGACCATGAATTCATACAAACATAATCTACACATTGATTATTATGCAAAATGCGCTAAATCTATTTTTGTTTAAAATATGTAAATATAATATATATAAAAATCAAAATTATTAAATAAAATCGATTGCAATTTCTAGTCCATAAACGAAAGTGTTTTTTGTTTTTGTTTTGTTGAATGAGATCGTTGATAATTTGTGGTTATGCAAAAAAAAATATTCATCAAATTGATTCAAGCTGCTATTTATCGGAAATGGGAATTTTACTTGAATAATGATAATTTGTTCCAGATTTTATTGTTGTTGTTGTTGTTTTATTTGTTAATTTTTTTATCTAATTAAAAAAACAAATGGTTATTATAAATGAAAAAAATAATAATAATAATAAAACACTTACCTCCGGTTCACAGGATTCAAGCACTTTCTGTGCATTTAATTCAGCTTGTTTAAGTTTTTCGACAAACAAATCATCATCATCATCATCATCATTATGATTATGATGATCATTTTCATTTTGTTTCATAATTTCAAAATCATTATGAACAATATTATTACGATTTTCATCGACCAACAATAGATCATCATCATCATCATCAACAACAGCACCGGCTAAATCATGTTTATGTTGATTATTCACACCTACTCCATTACGATAATTCGATGATGATTCAATCCTATGATTTTGTTGCTGTTGTTGTTGATGATGATGATAGATACATTCACAGCAATCACTAGCATTTGCCTTCGATACGGATGATAACATTTTCATCGTTTTCTTTTCGCTAGTTTCGTTCGTCGGTCTTCCAAGAACTTTTTGTTTAAGTTCATTATTTTTCTGACGTAATGTTTCTAAGCTTCGATTAGTTGTATCATCCCAAACTGGATTCGGTGTTGTAAAATCATTTTTCAAAAGTTGTGTTAACGATAATATCGATTCATTTGTTGAACCTTTACGTGCACTTATTGTTGATGGTGATAATGGTGCGTTCATAAAATCACGTTGTTGATTTTGTGTATTGAATGAATTTTTCAATGAATTATATTCACGTTCCATTTGAATATATAATCGTTCGAAATGTTTTTTTTCACTTTCTAGTTTAGCAATTTGATCACGAAATTGTTCACATTCACGTGTTAAACGACGTAACATTTCTTTTTCAGTTGTTTGTGATGTTTTATTTGATTGATCCATTTGTTTATGAATATTGGATTCTGATTCTAATTGTGATATTTTATTTTGAAGTAAAACATTTTGCTGATATAATCGTTCATAGGCAGTTTTCATTTGTGTCAATGATTGTCTATTCAAAAACAAAAATAGAATAAATAATTTTGAAGAAAAATAATCAAAATTCTATACATACCCAGTTGAATCTAAATCCTGTTGCCAGAATTTTTTCTCTTCACCATAGGAATTTAGTTTACGTTTAAGATCTTCCAATTCAAGATCTCTTTTTTTAAGCTGATTGTTCAATGTTGCACAATTAAATTGACAACTATTCAATTTACTTTTAATATCAAGACGAGATTTTTCTACTTCAGCTAATGTTTCACGTAATTCATTACAATCTTTAATCAATGTAAATCGAAGATTATCACCTTCTTCAATCGAACGTTTTAATTGTTCATTAACATTTTTAAGTCTAACAAAAAATGAAAATGAAAATTACAATCAAAAAAATGAATTTTAAACTTACTTTTCAATTTCAATTTGACTAGATGATAATGATTCATTTAATTCATTAATTTGTCTGGATTTTTCTTTCTTTTCAACCGTTTCCAGATGTAATAATCGTTTAATGTTTTCTGTTTCGCTTAACAATGATAATCGATCCATTTCCAAAAGGTTATATTTTTCATGTACATTTAAGATTTCGGAATTTTTTGCTTTCAAATCATTCTCAACACTAATAACATAATTTTGTACTTTAACCAATTCATTATATGTTGTTTCATATTTATCGTTGATTGATTTTAATTTATTTTCATTATCGGAAAATTTTTTATTCAAATCATTAATACGATTATTATAACTGATTTCTAATGATTGTTTTTCAGTCGCAGATTTTTCCATTTGATTTTCAAATTGTCGTTGAAGTTTATGTTTTTCATCCAATGTACGTTTCAATTCTTGACGAATATTATCACATTCATTTCTTGATTCTTGTAAACTATGTTCTAAAGTTGATAATTCATTTTTAAATTTTTCTTCCAATTGTGTTTTCTCTTCAATCGATCGTCGAAATCTTTGTTCATGATTTATCTGTTGATTAGTCATCATTGTTTTTAATTTTTCCATTTCTTCACCCATACGATGTTGTGTTTCGGTTAATCTTGCCTGTAAATTATCATTTTCTTGTTGACTTACTTTCAATGTTTCACGTAATGCTTGTATTCTATCGTTTGATTCTTTTTTCAATTCAATTTCTAAATTTAATTGTTTTTTACATTCTTCTAAATCATTTTCCAATCTTAAACAATTTGCATCTTTATTCGATATACTTTCACTTAATTGTGAAAGTTCACGATGTAGAACAGAAATTTCTTTGAGCGATTGGCTAAATGGTTTTTTAATTTACAGCAGCAGATGAATAGAAAGAAAAATGTTTTAAATGAATGGAAAAACTTTTAAATCCGAAAACAAAAACAACGAAACTTACCTTAAATCATCTCTTAGTTTTTTAATCTCTTGAAAATCTTTATCCTGATTCAATTCATATTCACGAAGTTTATCCTCTAATTGTTGTCGTCGATTATTATATTCTGATTGTAATAATTTTAATTTTGATTCAAGATTTAAATTTAATTTTCTAAGCTCATCATTATCTTTATCTTTTTCATTCAAAGCCATTTCCAATGAATCTTTCATCATTTTTGCATCATAACGTGATTGTTGTAAATCTTTTTCAAATATATCGATTTTCGATTTCATTAATGTTTGTTCATTTTCCAATTTTGTTTCAAGTGTTTGAATTTTTTGCGTTGCATTCGATAATTGTGATTTGAAATTATTTTCACAAACAAGATGTTTTTGTCGTAAACCAATAATTTCACGTTCATGTTTCTGTACAAGTATCTGTGTTTCTTCGGCAAACTGTTCCAATAATAAACGTTTTGTTTTAATAAAACATTCTAATTGAGCTTCAAATTCATCGATTCTTTCTTTTGTTCGCCTTGATGTGGCAAACATTGTATCACTATTGATAATATTATTATTATTATTATTATTTATCAGATTATGATCATCGAATAATAGATTCGAATGTTGTTGTTGTTGTTGTTGATGATGATGAGGATGATGAACGGTTGGTGGTGTTGATGAATTATTTTCATCACGATTAAAATCAATTATTGGGCTTGTATTATTTTTGAACATTGATGGTGGTTTAATCATCATCACCGGTGAATCACAATTCGATTGTTGTTTTGGTTGAGAATGATTATTAAAACTGTTGGTTAATAATAATGAATTTGGATTTGTCGTCATTGTCGTTGTTGTTTGATCCAACATCGAACTTAAATCAAGTAGATCGGCAGTTGTGTCGCCCATTTTTATTTTTTTATTTTTTGAATTTCGATATTTAAGCTTTATAATTGGTCACCTTTTCAAAAATGATAAAGGCAGCTGAAATTTATTCTGTCTCTTTTTTTGTTTCATATATATAGAATATATTTGGGTGATAAATTAAAATACAACAAATAGGGCGAAATTAGGTTGTTTGTTTGGTGACATTTTTCATTGCGACCAAAAAAAAAAAACTAAAGATAGAATATATTTATGAATTAAACAACATTCAACATCAAACAATAGAAACGTATTGTAGAGAAAGAGATAGGTGACGAAGAATATGTCGTGTGTTCCAGAATAAACCGTAGTCAATACACAAAAAAATCACCAAGGTGATCCAAACCAACAATAATGATATATATTTTCAAATTGTCAAAACAAAACTACCTTAATAACCGACGACGATTCTAATATTCGATTAATTTTTAATTTTCAATTCCGGAGAAAAAACAAAACAAAACAAATATATTCAACAAAAAAACAAAACAAAAAAACGCACGTTACAGAATAATAAAAATGGGCCTAGCAGGCAATATATATTTACGCACATAAGCTAGCGTAAGAACGCGCGCGCAAATTTTTTCTTTTTTCGCTTGCTGTAAATATATATGTTATTTTGACAGCGATAGTCAATCATTAAATGTGCAACTATTTCTACATTCAGAAATGAAAATTTAAAATTTTTAATTTAAAAAAAAAATTATCATTTTTTTTGTTCATTAAAGAAATAAATTTTTATTAAGAATTATTAATTAGTAATCAATGGGGGGAGAGAAAAAAAATTCACTCAAATCAAATTTTTAAAATTTTTTGTTTGTTGATAATTAATTCCGTTGAGAAAAAAAAAATAGGGGAATTATGATTATCACTTTTTATTTTGTTATCAGCATCATTATTATTTAGATATATCCATAGGTTCATTGTTGAGAACATATCGTACGTACGGCACTTCAACATCTTCACCATTATCATCATTACAACAAATTTCAAATACTAATGATTTTACATATGGTTCGATACGTTTTTTCGATACACGTTTCAACACTTCGGTCATTTTCAATGGCATACGTTCTTCACGTTTTTCTTTATTCAAAAAAAATGAATATAATAGAACGTTACCTTGCGAGATCATTGTTATATCCAAACGATGTTCGTTTCGAAAATAATCAATAAATTCTTGTAATGTCATATCTTGATTAAGTTCAAAACGATCCCAAATAGTAAAACTATTATCATAATATTTCAATGTCTGGCAAGAGGTTGGTGTTGAGAAACCGAAAAATGGTAAGGCCAAATTGACAAATGAATTCATAAATGGATCCAATGTTTTAAAACCTTGTACCAATTTGTATAGCTCAATAAATACAAGACCAGAAATGAGAGCAGTTGTAGTTGCAATGGCTGGTATAATACGACCGGCAATCAATTTACTTTTATGACGATCGGCTGGTGCGATTTCATAATTTTCTGCACGTAAATTCGATGTGGCAACAATAAAATCCATATGATAATTGTTGTCATCATCTTTTTCAAAATCAATCGGATTTATTTTCACCGATTTCAATTCATCCAATGTTGGCAGCTCGGCCAATATAGATTTGAAACGATCACCAGCATCATATTGATTTGAATCCATCATCGATAATTCGGAATCATTCACAGCAATCTTTACATTTTGTTTTGGTTTAAATTTCGGTATTTCACTTGCGGGTAATGAAGTGACCAGTTTAAGGATCTCTTCTCGCTTAGGACATTGTGGAATATTGTACAGATAGGCTCGAAGATTGGCTGCAGACATTACGAAATCCAAATGAAGTGAATTGCTTGGATCAAAGTTGATTGGATGTGGACATTTTTTGGGCCCGGACCAAAACGGTGCACCGGTTGTTGTCGTATAGTCGGGAGGAAAATTGAACAACAATTGTTGTATTTGATGATTGAATTGTTGTTCAAAATATAAACGTGCCCATTTAACACAATCAAGAAATGATGTTGGACGTTCTGCTAAAACTTTTTTCACTGATTCACCAATTTCAATTGGCTGATTGCCATTTAATTTGCTTGTACGTTCAATAAATTTTGGATCAGTTAGATAAAGATAAGCTTGTTCAGGTGCCTGTTTGAAAAGGCCTTCAAATTCATCACGAGCCCATTGTAATGTATGTTCAATGGCATTTGGAAAATTTTTCAATGTACAAATAGGAATCGATTTTTCCGGCGGATCTTGTGACGAAGAATAGGATTCAGTTAAATATGGTATTACAATCTGAACATTGCCTTTGGTTCCAAGTGTTCCAGATTCTAACAATGGTATACGATAATATACACATTTACGATCCATATATGTTCGGGCTTCCAGATTATCCAAGGCATTAGCAACACCATCAAGTGCTTCAAAGAAATCATCATCATAATATTTTTCCGTTTCAACGCCAACACGATTTTCATGAGCAATAACATTTATCTGTGGATTCATTGCTTTTGTTGCAATCGCAGCTATTTTTGATTTGAAACCACCAACATCTTTCGGTCGGAACAAAAATTGTCGATTCAAATTAGATTTTTCAATAATATCCATATCGGTTACAACAATTTTACCACGTTCACTAGTTCCAGCACCAATCATTGCAAAATGTTTTAAATGTTCACAACCGATAGCACCGGCACCGACCAAAAAATATCGTAGGTCACAAAGTTTTTGTTGAAATTGTTGTCCGAAAACGGCATTTTGACCATCATATCGACACTTTATTGGTTGAGCATCACTTTCTTTAGGTAATTTATCCGCTTCAGTGGGCAAACATTCAAATGCATCATAATAAAACCATTGATAAATCGGTGTAAATTTTCCAGTACATGCTTTCATCACTTCTTGTGCAGCAGCACCACCAATGAATGAATTCACAGGTGCCAGATTACCACGAGATTGTTTAGCAAAAATTTTAGCCAAATTTTCATTTATTGAACTTGGTTCTACTTGACGTTCATTTACCAGACCGACTAATAATTCATAAAATGTATCAGCATCTTCTTGATTCCATGAACGTGGAAGTCGATTATTTTGATTTTGAAATCGATCTAATGCTTGAAAAAATAAATGTTCTTGTTGTGGACGATCCGAAAATGAATCAAGATAATCGGGAGCCAAAATTGATTCTTTCAATGGTTTCTGATGAAAAATAAAAAATAAAAACAAAGATTAATAATAATCCGAATTTAAATAAAAATTTGAAACATACAAAATTTATAATTTTTGGCTGTTTAACTTGCGTAACAACACCACCATTTAGATAGTCGGAAAATCCGGTAGTATCACTAATTGAAAATTGACATGGACCGGTAACTTTGATTTTAAATTCTTTTCCATTAATTTCAGTCATTCCTTTAACTTCAGAAAAACGAACAACATCACCATCTTCGAAACCATGTCGAGTATCTTCAACACAGGCAACAACACCAGCTTTTTCTTTGGTGATACCCGAAATCAATACCGAAATTGGATTTTCACCATTTGTATCGTAAATGGTAAAATTATTTCCAAAATCACAAAATATTTGACCAAATAGACCACGTGATTGAGCTACAATTAACGATATGCCTTTTTCACGAGCTATTTCACCAACCGAAAGTTGTTCTTCCAACGATGAATCAGTCAATACAATGACGGCAAAATTCTTCAAAAATGATTCATCAATCAATGAACCTTGATGCATATTCACTTTGACATGTGGATTCAATTCAGAAAGATGTATCAATGATTGTTCGGCTCGATTTTTTCCAATATTTGATTCACTCAAGTAATACTATTTAAAAAAAAATAATTATAATCAAGGTTAATTATTATCGTAGGATAAATTATGAATATAGATTAAACATACTTGTGATGATAGATCATAATAATCAGCCAATTTATTATCATGTAATGTTACTTCTTTAACACCACCAAGTATAATATTTTTTGCAATTTCAACACCAAGACCACCAATACCGGCAATCAATACCGATGATTTTGCCATACGTTTCATAGCATCATGACCAAGTACATATAATTGTCTTGAATAAAGACTTTCATCAATTTGATGTTCATCCTGATTATTATTTGCCTGACGATTCATTGTTGTTGAATCAGAAAATGAACCGTTTTCAACCGAGCCGTTACTGTTATGAATCGAATTTTGTTGTTGTTGCTCGGTATTGGTAGCTTGTTTTTTCAAGCTAGCCGCTAAACACTTAACACCAATATTACCAATTGTTGATGAATTATCTTCACTTGATAATTTTAACAATTTTTTTTGCTTTACACAATCTTTTGAATCTATTTCAGCTTCACGTTTAAGATTAGTTTCAAGTTTATTATTATTATTATTCGAAATTGATGATGAATCAGAAGATTGTATTTTAGTTGTTGATGATGATGATGATGATGTAGCAGAAGATGAAGAATTATTTGATGATAATTGTTTCAATTTGTGGTTCTCACCACTCATCAAACTCGACATAATATATTTTACGAGATAAAAAAAAGATATCGATGAACAGAATAATTAAAAAAAAATGTTGATTGATTGTTAATTCAGTTGAAAAACTCTAAAACTTTTGCAAAGAAACGTTTGAAAACAAAAAAAAATCCAATAAGGAATCGATTTATGGATGAATTTCTGTATTCAAAGACGATAACAACAACAAAAAAAAAGAATAGGGAGTGTATA